AGGAAATCCAAGAAAATCCAGGGAATGCCTGAGCATGCGTTGAGATGAAGATATGGATGGATTCCAAGGAATTCACAGGAAATCCAAGGAATTCCAAGGAATTCCAAAGAAATCCAAGGAATTCCAAGGAATTCCAAGGAAATCCAAGGAATTCCAAGGAAATCCAAGGAATTCCGAGGAATTCCAGTTGCTTGTACACTAGAATTCCACCGCGGTTTACCCCTCGGTTTATTTGGAGCCGCTTTTGAGCCCTTCTTCTGTATCATCAGATTTTGAATTAGCATCAATGAATGCAGTAAAAAGTACATTTCCGAACGCTGAAGTTGTTGGTTGTTAGTTTCATCTTTCCCAAAATTTGTGGAGAATAATAAATACAACAATAAAAACTCACCACAACATACAGATCAGATGAGAGTTTTAGAGCTCGCTCCAAGATGCTTCTAGCATTGAGTTTTGTTCCTGAAGATGAAGTCCAACTAGCATTTGATGCAATCGCACATGATCAGGATTCCTCATCCTCTGAAGAATTCGCTCCATTGTTGCAATATTGGGAGACAAATCACGTAGGAAGAAAACTAATAAAATTGAAAGCTCGTTTTCCTGTTCCTACTTGGAATTTATTTCAACGCATAGCAAAAAATTTGCCCAGAACAAAGCAAACAATGAAGAAGCTTGGCACAATTCGTTCCAACATTCATTGGATTGCCATCATCCATCGCTTCATGAATTGATTAATCATCTGACGAAAGAACAGAATCAGGCTGAAATTTTCATAACACGCTTCAAATGCGGCTTCAGACATGGAATGGGAAATAATAGCAAATATGTGCAGCTCAACAAAAGACTTGAAAGATTAGTGAGAAATTATAGCTTCCAAATTGAAGATTACTTACTATTACCTACAACTTGAGTATTTGATTTTCATGATTTCTAATCATTATGGAATAAGCGCTTTTTAGTTGCAGCGGTATTTTGTTACAGCGCTGTTTTGTTACAGCGCTATTTTGTTACGCGCTGTTTTGTTACAGCGCTGTTTTGTTACAGCGCTGTTTTGTAACGCGCTGTTTTGTAAAGCGCTGTTTTGTTCGCGCTGATTTGTCACGCACTGTTTTGTTACGCGCTATTTCGTTGCAGAGCCAATAAATACAGTCCACAAATAAATAAGTGACGTTCTCATTCCAACTATTAGTCGTAAGACATTCAGAAGGAAGACGTCCCGATTCAAGGCTAAAGGGTCTGGAATTGGTCATATATTTTTTGAATACCAAAGAAGCTAGCAAACCCACTCTCGAATTTGAACATGAGGCACATCTCATGATTTTAGGTTCATTTTTGGCTAATTTATTGCCCCATTCCCGAATTTTTCGCTCCTTTCTATCATAGAAAAATCTGTGGCTTTGCTAACTTCTGTCAAACTCAACAAAGCCATTTTCGAAAACATTGCTTTTTCACCGATTTGAAATATTGAGATTGAATGGCTAATTTAAGGCTAATTAATTTCCCCTATTTTCCAATATTTTGCTCAGGGGCGTCCGGAGGGGAAGGCAAGGGGGAGGGAAGGGGGGCGCTCGCCCCTCCCCCCTTGCGCCTGGTCTTTACTCATCAGATACTTTCTAAGCAAGATACATTTGCATTATTCAATTCCTATTTTGATTAGCGCTTATTATAGTGACTTTCTGAGACTTTGTTTCATCAACGAAGTTATTGATAAATTTGCTCAAGACTATAAGAATGCCATTTTTGTTTGAACAAGATTATAATTATCATCACGTGCAATTTTTTATTGTAATTTTGGCTGAAAACAGAATACCTACGTGATGTCAATTCAATTAATATTCTTTTTTTTTTCATTCCATGTTTTATGTAGAATGATAGTAGATTATATATCGAGAGAGTAAAGTGCATGATTTTTCCAGAGGTGGTTTTGTAGCCAGAGGGTGCTACAATGCACTGAGGGAAGGAAGAGGAAATAACTCACTTCCGAGGTTTATATTTGCAGGACTCGACGATATTAATTGAAAGAATCTTATGATGAAATCAATCATTGTCAATATGATAATGAAAATCTGAACACAATAATCACAAGATGAAGTTTGATTATCATGACTACCGATAAAGAAGAGTAGCCATATTGCTTTTTGTGAACATGGAAAAAGTGTGGTAGCATATTTTCTCAATTGCTTTCCAAAGTTTTTTCAATAAATATTGCAGGAATTTGTGGAAAAACTATTGAAGAAGCTGCTGCAAACATAGTGATAGATTTATTGCCAGAAAAATCCCGGAAAATTTTTTAGCCTATAGAGAGTGCCCACTCTGTAAACCATGTATTCCCGCTTTTGTCGGTGTAAAATCGCTTATAGGTCGTGCAAAAACAGTTTTTTCTTACATGTTCTGAATAATGTACATTTTTTATTGTGACTTGCCCCTCCCTGAGATTATTTCTGCGGACGCCTCTGATTTTGATCAACGTTTCCAGCAAAAAAACGAAACGATTCGTCAATATATGCATTATTCACTATACATCTTGCATTTGTATCAAACGCATATTTAATGACGATTTTATAAGGCAAAGTGTTAGTATAATTTGTAAGCTCAATAACTATCCCATTATGGAATTGTTTGCTCCATATTTTTCAAAAGAAACCTGTTGCTTTGCTAGCTTTCGGCGAACTCAGCAGAGCCATTTTTGAAAAGGTTGTATTTTTTTACCATTTAATACATTGGGCTTTCTATGCTAATTTTAGGCTAATTAATTACCTTTTTTTTAATTTCTTGCTCTAAGATTTTGGAAACAAAAAACGAATTGATTTGTTCCTATCAAAAGCATATTTTTGACGATTCTATGAGGCACAGCAATAGTGATTGTAGGCTCAAATACTATCCCATTTTGTAATTTTTTGCTGCATATTTTTTAAAAGAAACCTGTAGCTTTGCTGGCTTCCGGCAAACTCAGCGGAGCCTTCTTTGAAAATTATATATTTTTCATTGATTTGATAAATAGATATTGGAAGGCTAAAGGCTAATTTTAGGCTAATTAATTACCCTATTTTCGAAATTATTCGCTCAACGTTTCGGAAAAAAAAAAAACAGGAACCGATATGTGGATATATGCATTATTCAGTTTACATCATGCATTTCAATCAAAAGCGTATTTATGGCAAAGTGTTAGTATTGATTGTAAGCTCAATAACCATCCCATTTTGGATTTATTGGCTGCATATTTTTTAAAAGCAACCTGAGGCTTTGCTAGCTTCCGGCGAACTCAGCAGAGCCATTTTTGAAAATAATATATGTTTTTCTGATTTGATACATTGGGATTTCTAGGCTAATTTGCTCAACGTTTGAAAAAACAAAACAAAACGATTCGTCGATATATGCGTTATTCACTATACATCATGCATTTCTATCAAAAGCATATTTTATGAGAAATAACTATCCCATTTTGGAATTTTTGCTGCATATTTTTCAAAAGAAACGTGTGGCTTTGCTGGCTTCGGGTGAATCTCAATGTTCTGAATCAGCAGAAAAAATATTTTTTTCGAAAATGTTTCTGCTGAGTTTGCCTGAAGCTAGCAAATATTTATTGAGCTTACAATCAATACTAACACTTAGCCTTATTAAATCGTCATAAAATATGCGTTTGATAGATAAAAATATGCATAGTGAACAAACGTGTATTTCAATGAATTGGTTTGTTTTTTTGCTTTAAACGTTGAGCAAAAAATTCGAAAATGAGGTAATTAGCCATTTAATCTCAATACTTCAAATCAGTGAAAAAGCAATATTTTGAAAAATGAAAAAATTGGGAATAGGGTAATAAATTAACCTAAAATGAGCACTATATTCTCACTATATCAGATCAAAAAAGATTTTTTTTCAAAAATGGCTTTGCTGAGTTTGGCCAAAGCTAGCAAAGCCACAGATTTTTCTATGATAGAGAGGAGCAAAAACTTTGAGAATGGCCTAAAATTATCTTTTTTGGACCTTTTTTAAAGATTGGAGTTACTATTGAAGTTTTAAATTCTTCTGGTATCTTACCAGTTTCAAAAATTAGATTCATTATATGAATGAGGGGTTCAAGTATGTGTTCATGAGTTTCTTTAATCATTTTTGAATTTATTTCATCAATTCCTGGTGAGCTGTTATTCTTTGAAGATTTCATGTGTTCTATTATTTCATTTCTATTTGTTGGGTATAGTGCCATGGAGTTTGTGTGCAGTGTAGTTTATCTTTCATTTCAGGGTTGGTTATTTTGCTTGCCATTCCTTTACTATATATGTGAAAAGTATTCATTGCAATAATTTGCCATTTCTTCATCATTTTCGAAGTCTTTGTCATTGGTGTTATTGATCTTTATGTCTCTGTTTGATTTTTTGTAATTTCTTTCATTAGATACATCACCAATTATTTCATAGATTTTTTCATGTAACTATTACAGCCTCTTGATTTGATCTGTGTAATAATCATTTTTCACTTGGCATATTGATTTATTAAGCTGGTTTTGCTATTTTTTATACTGTCTGTAGGTTTATCAAGGAGGTGGTAAATTCATTATTACAGATTTGTTGAGATTTTCTCTACTCATTTCTATAGAAAAAAAATATGAATATCATTTCAATATACAGGGTGTTACATAATTCAATACAAATATTTTAATGACATATTCCTGGGGTCAAAATAAGACTTTTTTTTCCTATAAACATGTGTCCTAAAATCCACCCTCCAAGCTACAGACATCGCAAGATGCGCAAAAAAAAACTTAAATTTTGAATTGTGGCTACAATTATGCATCAAATATTTTGAAAATTCACAGGCACTTGTATTTTTAGACGATCTATTCATTTCTTTCATTTGCTACATGTGCCATTAATATACATATAATAACAATAATTTTTTGTACAAAAATGTTTGGGTGATTCATTTAAGACTTCATAAAACTCCATAAAAATTATTTTCAACTCTACTTACCCATTTAAAGAAACAGAAATATGAATACTCACCCAGATTTTGAGTGACCAATTATCAATGCATTAAATACATTTTCATTAACAGCAATCTGTTTTTCTCTCATGTATTCTAAAATCTTTGTTGCTCCTTCAATATCTCCATCCTGGCAATATTTTGCTATGAGTCTCTGGTAGGTAACCCGGTTAGGTTCAATTCCTTTACTTTCAAGTTCACTGAGGAACTCTACAGGCAAAAAAGAATATTCATTTTCTAAATACACTCGAAGAAGGGCATTGTAGTGAGATATATCCATAGAAACATTAAGTCTATTTAAAGTATTCCATATTTCTTGTACGAGTTTGGTTCTTGTTTCTGGTAACTCTTCTGGAACCAGATTTCCACAACATCTGATTACTAAAAGACTTTGAGAGCTTGTTGCTGATCTAGCATTTCGAATTTCTTCTAAAACATCTTCAATGTCTCTGCGAGATATTCTACCAGATTTCCTCACATCTTGATCTATCCTTCTCAAACTACTCTCCAGATTCTGATCAGTTAGAGTAGAGGATTGTGTTGCAAAATTGCTAAAACTTTGTGAAATGTATTCTATTGCATCACACTCTTCAATTATATTACTTACCGTGGAAGAACTCCACATATACATGGTGTTGTGTTAGCAATAACAAAGCTTCCATCGAATTCTCTAGGTGTGTTAACCACAATATTTTTAGCGAATCCTGCTATATATCTCACAAATTTAGAAGATCTTAAAATCGAAGCCATGCCTACATGCGAGGAAATAGAGAAGTACCGACTATTTGACTATTTAAGTAATATGAGTTCCGTCCTGTGGACTATTTATGACTAATCGACTGGAACAGTGGAACAGGCAGAGAATCAGAGATGTCTTTAGTGTTGTTCCTGGGTCTATTTTTTTCGTACCAGATTTTCTTGGAAAAAAGTACCAGATTTGAATCAAAAGGTGGTAGTTTTGAATCAAAAGGTAATAGATTGGAAACGTCTGACATTTGATATTCTAAATGTCATTCTTGACAAGACAACCCCTATCCCACGAATTGAACATTTTTGACAAAAGAGAGCGAGAAGTCATAGTTCATAAATCAGAAAATATTCATTCTCTGAACACAGAAATAGATCAAACATCATATTTTGGAGCAGTGACGGCTCGTCAGGGACGGCAGGGTCGGCCAAGCCGTACCATATTTGACGAATACAATTATTTTCCGAAACTGTTTTCATAATTCATCGTTCATTATCCTACTGTTATGCCACTATTATTTCAATTTCATTCACTGGAACCTTTGAGTATGCCATCCGCATATACTCCGAAAATCACGAACTAAAATTCAGGACCTACCACATCTGGTAATGGCCGGCCGATCGGTGTTTCTTGTCTCGACGCATCGCCTACAGATTCCCCGCTTCAAGTTTGAATTCTCGCGTATACGCGAACGATAAACGTCATACCTTGGGTGCGGCCAAGCTCCTGGCCGTCCGTACGACGTACGTAATCAGTAGTTTGCAGGGCGCTCGCAGTGCACCGTATCCGACCATTCCGACCTAATTTTTAATATACGGATTGGCATGATTGACATTCTATTTTCATTTCACATTGTAGGTATTTATAATTTTTATTCCTATACTCATTTGTGAGTTGATGTTGAAATTTGAAATGTACAAACTGAAGAAAAAAAATTCGATGTTTTTGTTCACGCTTGCAGTAGATGCAGTAAAAATGACTGGTGATTCTTGAATTTGCAATTTTTCAGTGATTCATAATTCAACATATCCATCTAATATTTACGAAAGCGTAGAAGCGCAACATGATATATTTTTTTAATAATTGACAGATATAACTGTCAACTAGCCTAATTGACAGATACTAAGTCGTAAGTAGTATACTTGACAGATACTAAGTCGTAAGTAGCATACTTGACAGATACTAAGTGGTAAGTAGTATACTTGACAGATACTAAGTCGTAAGTAGCATACTTGACAGATACTAAGTGGTAAGTAGTATACTTGACAGATACTAAGTCGTAAGTAGCATACTTAACAGATACTAAGTAGTAAGTAGTATACTTGACAGATACTAAGTCGTAAGTAGCATACTTGACAGATACTAAGTGGTAAGTAGTATACTTGACAGATACTAAGTCGTAAGTAGCATACTTGACAGATACTAAGTGGTAAGTAGTATACTTGACAGATAGGCCAAGAAACTCGCCATCGCCAAGAAACAAAGAAGATTAAGAAGAAGAAGAATACAATGCCGACATAACCCTAACCCTAACCAACAACAATGGATTAGGGAGACAAGATAGGTCCAATTTTTGCAAGACAATGTTTAAATTTATATATTAAATAACAATTTGCTCAATTCCCAAAAATTTACTTCAGAATCAAAATCTGCACCATGTACACGGCCATTTCTGTACACAGGGAGTTTCTTAAGTACGTGTACAAAATTCAGGAGCATATGTTGCTGACGTCAACATAAGAATAAGAAAAGTTTTTATAAACATATGTCCACAAGTTATTCGTTTCTGAGATACAGAGTGTCAAAGTTTCATTGTCATTCCGGTTTTTGTTGAATTCGAGTGAGATACCAAATTTATTCCCAAAAAACAGGAATACGAATCCTTTGACACTCTGTATCTCAATAATGAATAACTTGCGGACATATTATATTATGTTCATACGAACTTTTCTTCTTATTTTGACGCCAGCAACATGCTCCTGATTTTTTTACACATACTCAAGAAACACCCTGAATATTTAAAGAGCTTCTACAGGGTTTATCATTGAAGATAGAAACAAACTTCATATACAAAAGTTGTAGGGTGTGTTCTCAACATCCAGAAAATTGTAAGAGGTGGAATATAAAGACCCAAAAATACCATAATATTTAGAGAAACCTAAATACGCGTATTTCAGCAACTAAATTGCCAACCTGTAAAGTAAAAATGATTAGCTAACTCCTTCGATTTATCTTTCGGATATTGTCCAGAGGTCAACCTGCAATATCCGATACTAAGGAGTCAGCCACTATGCGAGTCAGCTAATCATTTTTACTTTACAGGTCTACTGAGGATGGCAACTTTTAGTTGCCAAAATACGTATTGTGGTATTTTTTGGTCTTTTTATTTTGTATTTTAGTACTTATAACCAGTCTCCAAATCTTCACTGTACGAGGTGCTGATATAAGAAATGGGTACCAACTTCGTTATTTTAAATGGAACACCCTATACATATTTTTCGAATGAATTGAGAATCCTCCTTTTCTGATTTCACAAATATATAGGTTGTTGAGCTGGTTCAGCCGTTAATGAGGCTTTACGAGGTCGAACACTAAGAATTAGAATAAAAATGTCATACAAGCTTATGCAGTATTTTGTTGTATTGATATGTTACAGTTGAATCATCATTGATAAGTCGACTAGCTCTGAGCCAGTATCTGTCATATATGCTACTTACGACTTAGTATCTGTCAAGTATACTACTTACCACTTAGTATCTGTCAAGTATGCTACTTACGACTTAGTATCTGTCAAGTATGCTACTTACCACTTAGTATCTGTCAAGTATGCTACTTACGACTTAGTGTCTGTCAAGTATACTACTTACCACTTAGTATCTGTCAAGTATGCTACTTACGACTTAGTATCTGTCAAGTATACTACTTACCACTTAGTATCTGTCAAGTATGCTACTTACGACTTAGTATCTGTCAAGGATACTATACTTACCACTTAGTATCTGTCAAGTATGCTACTTACGACTTAGTATCTGTCAAGTATACTACTTACGACTTAGTATCTGTCAATTAGGCTAGTTGACAGTTATATCTGTCAATTATTAAAAGAAATATATCATGTGGCGCTCCTACGCTTTCGTAAATATTGGTATCAGAATTTTCCTTCAGTGCCTCTGAGCGTCAATAAGTTATAATTCAATTTGAATATTGTAATGTAACCTACTGTGCCTCTGCCTATGTAGGTAATATGGCAAGAAAAATGTCAGCATTCCAAGAGCTGAGTAGGTATTGAAACATCGTAAAAAAGCTCTGGTGACGAAAATGTAATAAATGTATAACTTCCAGAATATCATTTATTTTCAAAGACGCATGTAGCGGTTATAAATAATATTTTTCTGATTTCGACATATAATTTGACACTTTTCAAAACTGACGGAAGTTTTGAAACGTCTTACTTCACGTAACCAGTTGCGTAAAGTAAAATTTTACATAACTGGTGATGTAATGTTCATTTCAACACCATGCAGTTACGAAATAAGAATATGGATGGACGAAGAGAAATTGATTCAAATCTGTAGCTATACAAATAAACAAACAAGAATTCAATTAGAATAAACATTTATAACACAATTAGTACAATTAGAAATATTAATTCCCGATGTAAGAGAAGTTGAACTCGTGGAACTGGTTGTGATTTGATTATTAGTTTGGCCAAGAATATCCGTGGCTGTCTTTTTCTTGTTTTGTAAGGAATTTTCCACATATCGTTCAGCTACTGAACTGGACTTCCAACCTCCGTGTCTTTTAATTCTCGTCAAATCGGCACCTGAATCTGCAAGCAAAGTTGCCGAAGATCTTCGAAAGCAGTGACCAGTGAATAAGACAGAATTTGGCAACCCAATAAATCGAGCAATCGTCTTAGGAAGATTACCGAAAGTGTTGATCCCAACCGGCTGAACACCACATTTTCCACTATTATATTTGACAAAAAATCTGTTATGTTTTACATTTTGTGGACGTAACTTCATATATTTTCTCAATATCTCGACCAAATTCAATCCATCAATGTCGCCCATTGTGATGATAAACTCTCGTACAACTTTGGTCTTGGTCATCGGAATATTGACTCGAAAATATGAATGTTCATCTACAACATCTTCAATTCTCAAAAAGGTCAATTCAGACTTCCTACATGCACCATATATTCCGATTATCATTGCAACCTTGAAAGAGAAAATTATGTATAAAAGAACATAATATTATATAAAGACTATAGCTACAAACGCTCACCTTTGCCATCAAAAATGTTTCATCATCAGCTTTCATCAAAAACTGAGAGATATGCTCTTTCGACAAGACATTTGACTTCTTTGCTTGGTATCCATCGGACTGCCTCTTCAGAAATGCCAATAAATTGGTGTATTTTTTTATGTCGATGTTTTTTTTCAACGAAATTTCACATCGCAACATTGAGTAACGTGACCAGAGAGTGGAAGCTTTCAGACTTTTATGTCCTTCAAAATATGCCAGCATAACTATTTCATTGATATGCTTAACCTTTTTTTCTTCACACCAATTTTCAAATTTTCTATAAGCAATATCATATCGTTCTTTTTATTTTTCCGGAATCATGGTTAATAGTGCATTTTGTGCTGCTTCCTCAATATCACTTGGTAAATCAGAACTTGAATCGGACATTTTTCACCTATAAAAACATCAAACGATTCTATTTCGTCGCTAGTTTGTGAACGTATCGTTGTTTGACAGATACTTCAAAGTGGCAGGCGAAGTCAACTAGCCTACTAAATTTTGTGAAGAGTCGGCAGAACTGGACCTTGGGCAGAACTCATGTAAAACTGGTCATTATTTTTGTTCATGCGAAATGTTTCGTCAAAATTAGAAAAAATATTGTACGTGGCACGTTAGGAAACGCCATTTTGTGTAACTCTGTGATGTTGCGGGATCTCGCTTCGCTCGTCCCGCAAAATCCCATTGTTACACAAAA